TTAAAAATTATATCAGGTTACTTTAAGTGACTTGAATGATAATTTGTTTGCCCTCTAAAGGCCCGGTATTTCATATATGGATCCATCTGTTTTACAAACAGTGTGTGAGAAAAGTCTAAAAAAATTATGTTATTGATAGGTTCCACGTGCCATTAGTGAGTATTTGAATCGAGTAGTTCTTCAAAGGGGAAAAGCCTAAACCATAAACACAAAACAATACAAGTAACACTGAGTTAGCAAGCCTAAGCATCAGTATGTCCCCAGGATCCCAATGATATTGGTTTATATATATATTGGATTTGAAAGTTCTCCAAAAGTTTTACAAATCAATATTATGTACATCCAGTTTGAAATACCATTGGAGAAAAAGTGCATTTAATATAAAATTCCTTTTTTGTTTCTATGAATACAGTTAAAATTTGTCCAACTGATTACACTGTACATTTTTTAGAAACAAGGTTTGACCAGATCTATAATTGGGAAAGAATAAGATTTTAATGCTTAAAAAATGGTTGGACGGTTAATGAGAAAAATAAGATTAAGATTAAAATTTTTCATTTTTCTTACATCGTATGTTTCAACTGAAAAGTACTTTATCAGAGACAATTCAATAATCATTCAGTCCCCATTCAGCCAGCACTCAATCGACAGAATGGTGAGATTTTATTATCTTCCAAATCAAATGACATCAGATAATACATGTAATATTCATCTTAATATTTACGGAAAAGAAAAAAAAACTAGAGGAAACATTCATTATATTGCTTGGATTAATATGGCTTTCAATTAAAAATCATCTTCTATCATTTTATATTTTGTTCCATTTAAATTTTAAATAAATCGTTTAACTTCATACCGTTTTATTTTTTCGACGTCAAATGAATTTTAAAATTAATTTGTAAAATCAATATATAATCTTAACCAGCTCATTTTTTTACAATTGTACAAATTCTTAGTTCAAAGATAGCAATATTCTGTTGGTTTAAGGTATGATTTCTGTCTTCTTTCTAACTAATTAAGATTTTTTAAATTATATTTTCTTAAATGTCTTTATATTCAGATGTTAAAATTTAAAAGGTCGCATTTTTCTTTCTCTCTCACAAATGTACAATATGACATAGAAATGAGAAACTGGTTTTAGAAAACATTTAATAAATATTTATTTCCAAACAATCTACAATCTTGTTAGCAGATTTGAGTGAAAAAATCGGTAAAAATTGTTCTTTTCTCTAATTTAAAGATCAACATCTTTTTAAACATATATTTAAAAAGAAGTAGGCATCACATGATTTTTTTCGGCAATGTAATGTTAAAAAATATATAATGACCTTAAACTGACCTTGCTGCTAAAATACGACTGTCAAATTTAATTTGATTCATACCATCACTTAATAACATTGTCGTTTCGAATCGAAGAAAATTTTATTTAATTTTAAATACAATAAATATATCTCTATACGTACTTAGAAAAACATCTTTGCATATAAATTACTCAAGATATACAAGGAATTTATCACAAAGAACAGGCCTCTTTTTCATCTGCATGTATGTACTAAAACTAAGTCGTGTTTGTAGGAATTGTCATACCTTTTTTCCACGGATTTATATGAATTACTCATATTTAACATTATGCATCTAAAATTACATGTACATGCAGTGAAGAAATTTTATTTATTTATTGACCATTATTTCTATTAAGCTCCTATAAAAAGGGGGCGGTATATCAACTACGAAAATTTGTGATGACAATAATTGTTTGAAAATATAAATGAATGACAGTAAATCCCGATACATTACCGATTGTATGATAATGTACAGATGAATTTATCTGAGAAGTTAATATAAGTTTCAGTGTTCGTATTTTGATATATTTTTGTATTTGTGTGTCCTTCCTAAATTGACGAAAAAGGTTAAATTAACGAACAAAGAAATTCGAAGCAATACAAATCGAGACCAGGGGAAAACACATGCAGGCCACCGAAAACATGAGAATACAATGGCTTATCATTTACTATAAAGCATGTTAGTCTAAATTCGACCTAATGATTGTTGTATCTGTATATTATGACCATAGAATTTGTGAGATATTGACTTTAGGGAGAATATTAAGAACCTCGTTATATCAACTTATTTGCCAGAAGCCTGCATCGGTTTAAAATTTATTGGGCACAGAGATCATTCTCTTGCTTTTCAAATAAGTAAAGAGACATGACAGCATATGCAAGTGGTATTGAAATTTATTAAATTTTGAATTAAAGCAATATAACCTCTTGGAGCATTCGAAATCAAATAAAAATATTAATGTTTTAGTTATTCACTTCAAAGATCCTTGCAACTGTTTGAATACAAAAAATAGTAAAAATAATAATTGGAAAAAAAAAACTTGCAAAATTATATATGAATCAAATGACTTCAGGACGAAAATAGTTCTGTCCGTTGATATTTAAGTTCTATGGTAAGATTATTAGAAATGAAACATTTCTTAGGAAGGTGGAAATTTCTACGGAAGCCGGTAGGTGCTAGGTAGAAAAATATTTTATTTGGCGACCGCCAAATAATTATCTGGCAGCCGCCACATAAATAACTGGCGGCCGCCAAATAATTTTCTGGCGGCCGCTAGAAATTTATTTGGCCGCCACCAAATATTTATCTGGCGGCCGCCAGAAAATTATTTGGCGCCGGCCGCCAGTTATTTATGTGGCGGCCGCCAGAAACCGGCTTCCGTAAATTTCAAAGACGTATATGTGCATTAAGTAAGCGTCTCAGAGAAAACCATGCAAAACAGTCCACAAGCAGGGTTTTTGTATTGATATCAGTTTTTGTGTGCAATATAGTATTGATATACCATTAAATTTGCCACATACTTTTTTGTCATTGTTGTCTTAGTTCATGAGTCAAACTAGGAGCTTAAAATCATGGAATCTAGACATATTTGAGGAAGTCTCAACAAATCATGACATTTCATGCATTGAAATTAATTGATAGAAATAAAAGTATGTTGCCTAGAGTATCAGTCAGGATAGTAAAATTTTTATTCAGTACTTATCCAGTTTAAGAACAAAAAGGTCACAAATCTTCCAAAGTTCACATTTCCAAAAAATTCAAATATTTGTGAACTTTCAAAGTATTTTTAAAGAGTCTGTAAACACTGTAATTTGTTTTATTGTAATTACACCTTCAAGTACAGACCATAATTAGGAAAATATAAAAAAATCTATCTTTGGACTCTTTCAAATAGGGCAGATATGAGGTCACGAACAATGCTATGTTTTGACGTATTGCAAATCATAATAAAATTGTTAAAATAGCTCATATCTACTATATCATAATTTAACTGGAAATGTTTCAGCATGTCACTTTATAATATTTCAAAACAAACAGGACAACTATAACACAATTCTACATAAAAGGAACTTAAAAACATTTTAATGCAGAACATATATGTTGTCATGGGTAACGATATTATCTTGGTATTTTTTTTTCTTTAAAAACATCAAATGGCTGTTATTTTGAACTTATTTTTACAGGAAAAAGTTTTAGTTTGTCGTAGTAATAAATATTCTATATAAAAAGGCAAAGTGTTTAAAAATATTAAGAAATTTATTTTTGTAATTTAAATATAAAGAACATGTTGCCATGAAAATACCATATTCTTGGAGTTTTATCATTTTCTTTGAAAAGGATGAAAATTGCTTTAATCAATTCATTACTCTTCGATCGGAAAATCATGAAGACAAGTCCATTATTTACAAAGATTTAAAATAAAACATTGGTGTACAAATACAGAAAAAATATGTAAATGTTGCCATGGAAATATCATACATTTTACTTTTCTTTTCAGTTTTTCTGAAATAACCCCCCTGATACTGCTTTTATTCAGCCAAGCTAGGTTTTCAATACTCTGAGAATACTTCAAATCTTTACTTTTGCTAATACATATATAATCTAACTTTAAAGGACTATTATTTGTGTTATGAAATAGAAATAAAAGAACATGTTATACTAACATAGCATGTAAGCTACCATAAAAATGTTTACCATGGTTACCAAACAAAGCAAAATATCCAGTGTTTAAATTAGAAATACATATTTGCTAATATATTCACATGCTAAGTGCATTTCATGAAATGCTGGAATTGTTACTTGTATCTTTAGAAATATCTCTAACTATTAGAATCAAATTGCAGAAAATAAACTTTTCACACCTACATGTTTATCAAATAGGTTACCATGGATACACAAAATTACGTATTTACAACATTTAACACATTTTCATACATAGCTGATACAGTCTGGTGATGTTCTTCTGCCTTGAGATTCATGACAATATCTTGGAGATGTTCATCATTCACAATGCTTTCTGTATCTGCTAATTCAACTGAAAGACTTGTACCCTCTCTGCCTTAGCACTTTTTCTTGTTGTTATTAAAATAAGTAGCAAACAAGTTTCTCAGAGACGCTCACTTAAGTGGAAATTAACAATCCAGTAATTTTGAAGAGAGAATAATAAAACTGTTCAAAATTAAATAATGTAGGAAAAATAAATCAAAATTAAAAAGGCATGTAAACACTCCATTCTTCGACCTGCATCCATGAAAGTAATTGCAGAATTTTTAAGGATACAATTTTTTTTTCAATTATGATTTTTATTTTTATTTTTTTTTAATTGATGATTGTATATTTTCCTCTGGTAACGTGTTTATTTTTTATTCACTGTATCGCAAAAAGTATAACTGAACAAAGCAATCATTGCTTAACAGCTTTCATTAAATAAGGAAACAAACGTACTGTAACAATTTTTACATATATATGAATATACTTAGGAATCTACACCATAAATATATACTTAACCTTCAACAAGCTTATTCTTTTTGTAGCATTTTTCGAGTAGGCTTTATTTTTTTTCATTTTTTTTTTTTTGTTTTTTTGACACAAAGAAATTCAATTGAAGATTCATCTCTAAGTAAAGCACGAACCAATCAAACATGAAAGAATCACACAATTTTTAAACCAAATCAAATATTTCTGAATTTAAGCTATCCAATTAAATAATTAAATTAAACAAAAATGTAGACGATGATTAGAATGACCACGGGAAACTGACGTCATTGATATAGTGATATTAACATTGAAAAATTAATGATATGATTAAGGCAGTTTGACTTCGGAAAAGGTGGACATGAGGATTTAATTTGTTTCCTCATTTGTTTTTGTAATTTATAATATCAGTGCCTTGCAAATTACAGCAAAAATGATATATATTAAGAAGTGTACATAGCATTGTCAGTACGAATTTAACAATTTTGTTTCTTCTTTTTAAAAAGTGTGATTGTGCCGTTCGATAATAAAATAGTGTTATAGTTGGCACATTTTGTGAGACCTTTGGTATAATTAATAATTTTGTTCCTATAATATTTAGAAATAAGCACTGCGTTATAATCGTTATTTCCTTTCTTACGATTTTCGAAATTTCCACTCTTAGTCGTGTGATGAACCGCCAAAATTGTTTTTGTAGCATCGATAACAATGAATCCTCGCTTTAAAGATTCTATCACCAAGAAGTTGTCATAAGCACGTCTTCCAATGACAACATCAGGCATTTCCATCCAAGGATAATTAGCACTTGTTATAAAATAATCTTCAGCCCATTCAGTAAACAATTTTCCTCTATGTTTTGAAATATTCCTTAACAAATCAAAATTCTCTGCTGCCTGCATAGATATATTTGGAAGATTGGTTCTCTGACCTATTATAAGTACCGTATTATTGAGCACATTAGTGATTTTCTCCACAGCTACAACAGTTTTCAACAGTCCTCCCGTAAAAAGAATATCCCCATTTGCAAAGGCATAGAACGACGATTTTGAAAGCTTCATAGCCGCAAGAAACATGTCCTTCAAAACTGGAATACCGATGCCAGTTTTAACCACAGGAAGAACATTCCATCCCTTATTTAGTACTCTAATAATAAGATCTGTATCATTTGTGAAAAGGATTGGGGTTATTAACGGTTTCATTGTGGACCAATTAACAACTGTTGTGTTTCTACAGAGATATTTTTCGGCATCTTCTGACCATGTGGTGAACATTGTTAACACAGGGAATGAAAGGTTTTTGTCCCTTAGAAATTCCGTGGTGATCTCCCCCTGTTTCAATTTCTCAACTTTTCTCAGAGTTCTTTTATATTCACCAACAAAGTTTCTTAAATCACTCTTTTTCTTTATTTTCTGATTGTGAAGTTTAACATTAGATTCACTTTGCACCATAAGGTTTGCTTCAGGAGGGACTACAGAGTCCGCAAAACTAGAAGGTAGTTGGTCATTCTTCATTATATAAATATGCGTATTAAGAGACTGTTTAACAGTCTCTAGTATGTTCTTGGATATATCTATATTCCTGCTTGTTTGATCATACAAGTACACGTATACTCCAATACAAAACAGGGTAAGAAATACTATTTTGATATGCTTACATTCGTTTGCCATTTTGAATCAAGCACAAAAAAATTCTTATTTTAAAGTAAATCAGTCCTTTTTTTCGGACAGAGAATTTGAGAATAGCATTTAATATCCTCACACAAAGAGTTGTCTTTTAAACGTAATCTATAAAATATTGCCACTTCTCTTGCGCAGGCTAATTTACGCAAGTGAAATATGATAGCTGTTTATGCATGCAGGGGAAGTATTTGCGAAGTATTTAAAAAACAACCTGATGATACAGGAATAAATGGTTTTTATACTTTGAGAGTAATAAAGTGATTTTTATCATTTAAAATTAGAAAAAAATATCATCCAGTAGTAAAACCTAACTTTCTCCACAGTTTTTGTAAATTTGTGATTAATTTTTCATTAATTACCTTTATTTACTTATTTATTTTTGTTTATATTCTTGATCATTTACTCATTTTTTTTTATTTGTTCATTTTATAGGATACTTACTTGTTCATTACTTCATACTTCATGATATTTATGAAGTTAAAAACTAAACTAAAATTACAATTAAAAAAATTAAGACTTTTTTTCTATTAATCTATTAATTATATATTTCGGAGTTTAAGATTATTAAATTTTTGCACATCAATATCACAAATACAAAAAGAGTAAGTAATTCATCAATAAATAAATTGAATTACTGATTTTCAATGTGCATAAGTTCATTTTCATCAAATGAATATACTTTGTGGATTTAATTTGTTATAAAAATGAACTATGTAGAAAATAAAAATTCAAATATACAAAATTATTTATAAACAATAAATGAATAAATATATTATACATAACTATAAAAATAAAATTGATTTAAAATAAATCAATAAATAAATGCTGAAATTTGTATCATTCTATTATCATTTATAAAATATTTTCGTTTATTTTCTTCTAACGACTGGATTTGGAAGGGATAAATAAATAGAGGGTAAACAGAAAGCAAATGAAGAATAGGAATTCAATGAAAGCAGAAAACAATGGAGAGTGTGGAAGGTGAATATTGACCAAAAACAGTGAGTAAAATCAAACACAAACCCGGAAGTCTCATATCATTTAATTTTTTTTATGATTTTACATTGAATTAAAAGCCCAAGTAAAGATCTGAGTTTGAGGAAATTAAAAAAAATAACACTGGTTTGATAAGAAATTTCGTAATAAATAACTATTTATTAATAATTAAGCTTGTATATAATATTTTACAGATTTCCGAATATATGTGTTGGAGTATCCTGTCCTTGAATTGAATTTAGATAACATCTAAAAGTCAAAGTCAGATGAAATGTTTATTTCAATGCTTCTTTCATATAATGAAATATATTATCTAAACTGATTATACCATAACCATGGTTGATATTTTTGTCTAGATAATTCGAACCTTAAGAGAATATTTATTGAACGCCAAATTTTTGCGAAACTTAATTTGCTCCTCTTGGCTATTTTAGCATTCCAGATTTTCAGTCAACTTATATTAAATCTAGATTTTGTTTGTTGTCAGTTTTGTTAATTTTGAATTTCCCGATCGTAGTAAATACAATAGATACGAGCTGTCATGCTGTACGTGTACACTTTGTACGATGGGTAGTAGACGTACAACATCTTAACTGAGAGAGAGAGAGAGAGAGAGAGAGAGAGAGAGAGAAGAACAAAGTACATCCCCTTTTCATAAACCTTTCATTTCATTTTTAAAATTGTAATGAAAAAAGTGAAGATAAGGAACAGTGATGGATCATGAAAAAATCTACAAACACAAATCTGTGAACAGGGCTTAAAACACGGACACGCGGATATTCCAGAGATAGGATGAGGTGCCTAGGAGGAGTAAGCATCCCCTATTGACCGATCACACCCGCCGTGGGCACTATGTATTGATCAGGTAAACGGAATTTTATGTAGTCAAATTTAGTGTAAAAACAAAAGCCTAACACTTGGTATAAAGCACATCAGCCAAAATACGATAAAACAAAGGGATGTTAAAAAAGGGTAAAAGAAGGGTGATGAACATTAAAAAAAACAAATATTCCTTTTAAGGTCAAGATCTAGTAAATGAAAGGTGCCTACATATTTCTCAAACTTGAGAAATAAATTCCTTTAATGATGCTTTATAACTTTAGCTTGGTCAAGTAAGGTGTTTCGGGGCATAATTTGTAGGTAAACAAGACAAAAGATCATATTTAAACTGTCATTTTCAATGAAAAATTAATAAAACCAGTTATGAATATGGGAGTTTTTTCCATATCAGGCAAAGGAAATGTATCCAGATTGCCTACAGTCTGTCAGAAAACGGTAATTTATATGTTCTTAGCCTCTTCTTTAAAATAATACTAAATTGAATATAGGTATCGGGATTACTTTTCACATGATTTCAAATTGAATTCCATGTAAATACTTTATTTTCTACATAATTCTATTAGAGACGTAAATTACGGGAAAAAGAAAGTTTAAATTGATTATGACGTCATAATGGATCTAGCACCAAAAAGACAGTCTAAAGTCATTTACTAGATCTTGACCTTAAGGAACGATCGGCATCAATATTAGATGCATTATAATTATTACCTCAGAACTAATGGTATTATTTTACTATTAGGTATTTAAATTAAATGTCATAATCAAAAAGCAATATCCCTTGTAATATATTTCTTTGTTGAAATAATGAACATATGATTTGTATATGTAGATACATGTAGTGTGCACTGTAAGGTTTCATGATTTGCGAAACATTGTCTTGTAGGATGCAGATTTACACTACTGCATATTGTAAACTTTTTTGCATGTTTATTATTTTATTACATTGTATATGAAAAAAGAGCACAAAAGAAAAGAACGATCGGCATGGGATCTTAAAAATAGCATTAAGAAATGTCTTGGAATAATATTGTAGACAATTCTTTTTTTTTTAAATGATTTAATTTAATATTTTTTTCAAATAGCTAATAGTCTAATAGTTCACCCTAAAGGGAAGTGCACTTCCGAATAAAATTCTTACGCATGTAGGGAAAAATGTAAGTTTATTCACCAAGTATCTGTATAAACGTTTGCATCTAAAGGTAAATGCATCAAAATAATGCTCATTAGTACCTAACATGTTATGAAAGATTTACATAAAGCTCTTAGTGTATAGTATACATAGTGGTACAGGACGTAATGTGTGCAGATAGTTAAATCTGCCAGTTACTTCATATGGAATCAATAGTGATCGGCCAAAACCGACCACAAAAATGAAACGAAATTACGCAGATCAGAGTCATTGAAATGTATAAATAAACAGAAATACACATAAAAGAGGTTGAATCTAAATAATTCAATAGATGGGGATGATATAAATCAATAAAATTATTAGTTTTAAAGCAATTTGCAATCGTAAGGGTATAATGAATGAAACAAAGCACTTTGAAATATGTTCATATATCGTCAGACACCCTTTTGATATAAGTCTAGAGTAGTGTCCCTTTTATTTTCCTTGCGTATCTAGCAAGATTGTATACTCTGCTGCACAAAACATCGTTAGAAAAATTTTATTAAAAGAAGCAATTCGCTTTTGTTACATCTTACAACTGCTGACGGTGATAAGGTCAAAACAGTTGAAAAATAAAGACATAATCAAAATTTTACCTCACTTAGCATAAATCCCCTATTATTGCATAGGTTTGACAAAAAAAGTCTAATATAATTTTTTTTCGTACGACCTGTCTCATGTGTTTTGGTGCTACTGTTCGCTTTCTTTACATCATGTCAACATAAGTTGCATATCCGGATTGGATTTTTTTGGCCTTTATGATGACATTTACGATGAGTTCACAACCCTAGGACCTGGTTTTCAAAATGGCGGAGGGTAAAAATCGGTACTTTGAACGAAATGTAAACAATCAATAATATTATTATTTTCGTTTATTTTTCTAAACGATCATTTCAATTGAAAGAAAAAAATATTCGTAACTAAGACATGATTTACTCAGTGAAACAGTATTTCATTTTTTTAAAATTTATTTACAAAACAGACACTGTCAAATAAGGGTAACCACTCCCGAACCTCAGAGGATATCAATTAAAAAAAGTTAAGATAATAAACAGTAATCGATCTAAAAAAAAAATACAAATCTGTGAACAGGGCAAAAAAGACAGACACCTAAAATTCCAGAGGTGGAATCAGGTGCCTAGGAGGAGTACGTCCCCTGTCGACCAGTAACACCCGGAGTAAGCTGTATGTATTGATCAGGTAGAGGGAATATTCGATAGTGAAATTAGTATAAAAACAAAGGCTTAACAATTGGTATGAAACAGCTAAGCTAAAATACGACCCAATGATGGGTTATTTTTGCTAAATAGGTCATTATACAACTATAGAATTTACGAAATGCTGACTTCAAACGAGGTTGTTGAAATCCATGTAACATCAACCTATCTGTCAGTAGCCTACCTCGATTTAAAATCGATTGAACTCGGAGCATGCTCTTTACTATCAAATAGGTATCGGACACCTAAGAACCATATGCAGTTGACAGGGGATTATTATTACATAAATAAGAAAAGTTGACGATGAAAAAGCTGAAGTCATCTCGTTTGTCAAACAATATGGTTGTTAGTTGGCCCTAATCGTTTGTTACAGTTCAACATCGGAATATGAAACAGATGTGGCAGACTCTCTATACGTCCCGAAGTAACTTATGTATTAAAATCTCGTCGATATTTCTGACTGTAGAGTTGAAGGCCAAGGCACTTTTTCTTTTCTTTTCATGTTGATGCTTTTGGAAAAATTCTGCTTCATAGGAACATTGAAATAGGCCGTCAAATAAAGGAGCACAGCTAGTGCCCATCGAAATTCTTGAGTTTGTCGGAAAAACCTGGTCTTTGATGACTACAGAACTGTTGTCAATGAGGAACTCAAGCATCCTTTTAGTATCTTTTTCAGAGTAATTGTGTGTAGATTCCGTGTGATTTTTAAAGGAGCTATTTTGTTGATGACCAATCACAAAATATACTTCTTCACAATTTTTTGTACA